GGTGGTGGGGGGTGGGAGGGAGGGAGCTGGGGGATCAGGCAGGGATACATACTGTGCATGTCTGCTTCAATTAGCAGATGCTGCAGATCCACAGTGTAAAATACTATACAACCAAACATCCGCCTTTGCAGGTCTTTATTCTTCTAGGCAGTAGATAACATTTCCTGGGTTTCATTCTTCTAGTATACTAGATCCAGAAATTTAGTGTGATGCCCTGCTTTCTCTTTCTTTGACTTAACATTGGTTTCTGAAAGAATCTTTGCTACCTAGAATCTACAGTCTGTTTTATGGCAACACTGGATAATGGCTTTTTGAAATTGGAAAAAAAATGGAGCATCTGTAAACAGAAATGCCAAACTATTGATGGTCATTGTTGCTGCTTCACGTAAATATGAAATTGATGCAAAAAGAAGCCCATTCTTCATGTTCTGTACTTGGGGTGGGGAGGGTAGAAAAGGGGACTTTTTCTTAAAATGAAAATAATTACTGCTATTTTAAAATTTCCTGATTATTGAATGTGAGACCCTCTAACATGATTTGAGAAGCTGTACACATTATAGGCAGAGTTATTTTCCTGTTTACATTCTTTGTTTGTTTGGGGGAAATTGGTAGGTGTCTGATTACTGTTTACTTCATTGTTGTATTGCAGTAAAAAATTTAAAACAACCATTGCATGTTTGCTTTTGATGTATCCCTTTGTGAAATTAGCACTTTTGGGGCCAATGAAGAAATGCAGCATTCAGTCTCCTTCCCCTCCCCTGTCCTTAGTAGAAATGCATTTGATCAACAGGTCATGAGTCAAACTGCTGCCTTTAAAAAACAACACACAAAATGCTGAATCAGTTCAAAATTAATGCAAATCTTACAAAACTGGGTGTCTGATAATGATACTTGTGGATGTCTTTATTAGATAAGAATGTATTACCATTAAATCCATTAGTATTACATTGCTTTCAAAGAGAGGAGGTGGGTGGGACTATAACCCAGCATCTTTTACTGCATTTAAAGATGGGAGAGAACTTTTGTATGGTTGGGAGATGTGCTGGAAGTACTTTGGAAAATATACAATCAAGATATCTCGTGGCATATTAAAAGAAAAATCTCAATCACAGTGTTGACTTTTATTTGGATTTTGCTCATCTCAGTTTTTCTTTGGAAACTCCCTCATTAGTATTGCTGTTTGATTGTAAAGAGGGTCACATGTGGTCTTGTTGACTTTGTCCAATCTTTTCCTAAATATAAGCAGTACTCCTAAAGAAGTAATGTTTCCTACCATCTGATTCCATGTCAGAAGATGGCTTTGCAGACCCCCTGCCCAGTCTCCTGCAGTGTGTTCAGTGGTGAATCTTAAAGCTGCTTATCATGCTCTCATAACCCATTTTATGGAAATAAATGAAACCATGATTTTCCTTCATGATTACCATATTTAATTTTCATGTTTTTTTTTCCATAAACATGGTAGACTGTTGGGTGTTGTACTGCCTGTGTTTTCCAGTGGTTTATGCGTGATGTCTCAGGAGAATGAGTGTGGGTGGGGAAGAATGGTAACACATTTCCAATGGGATGTGGGAATGCCTCCATTTGTTTCATGACATTCTGCCTGTTCCCATAATACTCAGGATGTTAGCATAAGACTGGACACGAGGAACTGATAAAAATATAGCAGCTGCTGGTTCTCTGGAAAGTGACAGCAGAAGTTGGTGGCATGGAACTTCCTTGGACACAAAATGAGAGTAGTAGAAGTAATGATTTCCAGAGGACAGCTTGGGCCAGTCTGATCATTTCTTCCTCAGCCAAGACACTGTATATTAGTGAAGTGAGCTTTCCAGCCTGTTGCTGGTACTGTTAAATTACAGATAGTTTTAGCCAAATCTCTTAATGTAACCATTGGATTTTTGAATCTTGCATATGAAATAGACTTAGTAGCATCTTTAGTATTATTACTGTTTACCTGCTCTGTAGAAAATATGAGGAAGCATGAATTTATATTTGTAAAATTATTTTAACCATCTTTCAGTCAAAATATTTTGTTTTATTGATTAAAAGAACTGAGCTGTTCCACTCTCACATTTTATTCCTGTACTAAATGTCTAGAATTCTAGGGGACTGATTATAAAGTATTTTCAACACATCCGATATGTCATTTCTCATTTTTTAAGATTCTTATACAAGTGTATATGGGAAGTGACATTGCTTCCATCAGTGGTGCTTGTTCTCATCAGGCATTGGTTGATGTAATTGAGGAAGGTAGTTGCAGGCTCCTGGTTCACAGCCAACACGTGGATGTAACCGAAGGTTCATGAAGGCACTTAAACTAGCAAATGGCATAGAATTACCATTTCCTCTCTGATCCCAGTGCCTTGCCTAAGGGAGGGTGTGTGTGTGTGTGTGTGTATATAACAGAGTCCAGAGAGCAAGCAGTGGTTGCTTTCTGAAGGAAGGAGTAAGTTACTTCCTGGCTATGTCCTTCCTGGTATGTTCTGAATCAGAGGCCACAGATGTTCTTCACATTTTGTTGTTGATTTTGTTTTGTTTTTCAGGATAGGGTTTCTCAGTGTAACCTTTTAAACAAGTTAAAATTTCTAGTTCTATGGGGTCAAAGTGTTCAATATCACTGTCCCTGTGCTCACCTGTGCACATTTAGTAGTTACATCTGTGCTGGTGAGGTTTGCTATGGGTTGGAACAGACTGAAAGCTTACAAAGCCTAAAAAGAGCTCCTGGCTTGGCACAGAAAATGTTGAGCCTTCCCTGTTTTCTGGCCATGCTCCGTTTATTTGCATTGTATTCGGTTTCTACTTTGCCAAGCTGGGATGCATGGTTCAGGTCTTCACTTGTTCTCGAGTGGACATGACAAATTCCTTCTAAATCCTTGGTCTCACCACTGGGATCAGCTTGAGTCTCTTGTGCTTTCCTCTGGCCTCAGGCTACTTTTGAAGCTTCTCCCCATTGCTACATAGTTCTTGTGCTTGGAGGATAGTGAGAGGTAGTCCAGAGCACACTGACAAAGTCAGTAGGTACATCAGGAAACAACTGGAGGTCTGAGATCACAATACAGGATGAGAGGAAAGAGGAGAGCAGTCTTATTGATTGGGCTTCAGGGTCTTTTTCCAGGACAGGTTTGCAGAGGAAATGGTTGGGGCAGTGGGCAGAGGCTTGGACTTGTCAGCAGAAAGCACTGTCACTAGTGGACCCCCGCACGAAGGCTTATGAATCATTGCAAAGAGCCTTCCCTATAGCATAGTTTGCATAGCTGCAGTCTCAGGTTGTGTTCTTGCTGAGACCAAAGAAACCAGTGTGCAGTGTGGTCCTTACCATCCTAACTCGCTCCAGGAACAGACTAAACCTGTCATTCAGGCTTGTGCTGCCTGCCTCAGTCAAGCTGTTTTCTGTTCTTACCTCTTTTAAATGGCTTTGCTTTCAGAGCTTCTTTTCTTGGGTATTTGATGGATAACATTTCCTTGTGTGGTGCGTAAGTCTTTTCCATGATACCCATGGGAGGTTGCTTCTAGGATCTCTACTCCAAGGAAGTCTCCAGACGCCCAAGCCCCTCATAAAATGTCTTTGTGTATAAGCTGTTCAATTCCCATGTTTTATCTGCAGATGGCTTGCGGTACCTAATACAATGGTTTTAGTTGTCACACTATAATTTTAGGTGAGACGGAATTACATGGTCAGCACAGATGGGCGGGAGGGATGAGTCTGCACTCATTATATAGCTCTGGCTGGCCTGTTAAGTCCGGGGTGGCTGTATCTATCCCAGCCTCAGCCACTTTTTAAGTCCTGAGATTCCAGGTGTGCACTGCTACTCCTGGCTTAGGATATTTTTGATCTGCACCTAGTTGAGTGTGTGGATGAGGACTCGTGGACTCAGCAGGAGCAACTGTCATATTTGCCATGGTGTAAAGATTGGGAAACTCCACCTTTATTTCTTAGCTTTTAAGAGGATTTGTGTAGGTCAGCGCTCTCCAGAAACATGGAATCAGTAAGATTGAGAGATGGGTATGAGAAAGTGCAGGCTGGAGAACTGGGAAGGCTAGTGGTGATTCAGCCCAAGACTAGAGACCTGAAAAGGCTGTTGGAGTGGGAATTCCCTGGTGCACAGGGCACAACAGTGGGCAGTGCTGATAGTCAAGAGCCTGGGAAGTGTCGTGTCCCAGCTCCAAAAAGCAAATGGTACCAGGCTCATGGAGAGGTAATGGCACACCTTGTAATCCTAGCACTTAGGATGTGTTGACAGGATCAAGGGTTCAAGACCAGCCTTGACTGTATAGTAAATCCAAGACCAGCCTAGGCTATCTAAGCACCTCCTTTTGAAATTAATGGAAAAATAAAAACAGATTAGATAGCTGCCCACATTGGTGAGAGCACTCAGCTTTACTCGTAAATCTACAGATTCAAATTCTGATTGCCTAGACTAGTGGCTCTCAACCTGTGGGTTGCAATCCCTCTGGGGGTCAATCAGTCCTTTCACGGGGTAACATATGTCCTGCATATCAGATATTTACGATTCATAACAGTAACCGAATTAGTTATGAAGTATCAACAAAAATAGTTTTATGGTTGGGGTGATCACGGCATGAGGAGCCATTTTAAAGATTCACAGCATTGAGCGCCAGTGGCTTAGACCCTTAGACACATTCAGATGGAGCTTTGCTAACTCTTGAGTGAACCCTAGCTGTGTCATACCTATGTTGACATTGTAACTAGCCACTAGCCCTCAGTCACATGGGTCTTTAGAGTTGAATTGCTACTTTAAAGCAAAGTCTGAGCCAGATGCTGGATCCATTCCAATTTCAAACTCTAAAATTATTTGAAAACTGTTGTTGGTTTTGGTTTTTGGAGTTTGTGTAGTCCTGTAACTACCTCTGTAGACCAGGCCTGGACTGGTTTTTTTTTTTTTTTTTTTTTTTTTTTTTTTTTTTGGATATATTAATGTATTCAGTATTCGGCCTTCGTGTATGCTTCCACCAGAGGAGGGCACCAGATCTCATTATAGATTGTTGTGAACGCCCATCTGGATGCTGGGAATTGAACTCAGGACCTTGGAAGCCATCTCTCCAGTCTCTGAGAACTCTTTTAAGGTGTTGAGCTGTACAGTTCCAGAGACTGTGTACGCATAGCAGCACATGACCTATCACCTTAAAACGGGAAGAATCTTTACTGTGAAATAATGCCTTAAACTTCCTTAGATTTGGAGTACTGTATTCGATTATTTTGTGAATTGGGGTAACTTTTGGTGTTTTCATTTGTAGGGCCTTTGTTCTTTCACATACTAGGCCTTGACTTTTTTTTTTCATGACCTATGAAACAGATTTTCTTTTCTTTGTTGATACTTTTTATTTTATTTTATAATTGTAAATAGACCAACTATAGATTAGAAACAAGTTTCTTTTACATGTCAATCCCAGTTCCCTCTCCCTCCCTCCTCCCCTTCCCCTCCCCTCCCTCCAAACCTTTTTCTGCACCCCAGGGAGGATGAGGCCTTCCATGGGGGATCTTCAAAGTCTGTCATCTCATTTGGAGCAGGGCCTAGACTCTTCCCGGTGTGTCTAGGCTGAGAGAGTATCCTCCTATGTGGAGTGGGCTCCCAAAGTCCATTCCTACACTAGGAATAAGTGCCTTGACTCTTGCAACTTAAAAAAGCTGCATATTTATTTCACTTTCTGACTCTGTGCCTTCATCACTTTCACAAGTTTTCTACTCCTCAGTGAGACCCCTCTATGGACACTCTTGGCACACGTGGAACCACTAGTCCCTGTTGACATACTTGGACAGTCTCATAAGGACTTTTGGTCTCACAGTGTGAACCCTCCAAAGTCTGCCTGGGCATACACCACATGGGGATTTAGGTGCTTTCCCAACCTTTCTGGCATAAAGGTAGACAGACAATCCTGTTGCCAGGGATTCAAGACAGCCTAGTTTTGTTAGAGGTGGTATTGCAGGAAAGCATAGGATGATACGTAAAACGATGGACCATACCAAGTGCTTCGGAGCTCCATCCCCAGAAGAGCTCATGTGTACAGCGGGGGAGTCTTTCTAGATTTCCTTTTGGTCAGTTAGAATTGTTAGATCATTTTGGTTGGTAGACTGGCTCCAGTTCTAAGGGAATTAGAATTTACTTATTAAAATTTTCACTTCTATGTTTTTTGAGACAAATCTTACTATTTAGTTCTGGCTGTCTTGGAACTTATGTAAATCAGACTGGCCTCAAAACTCACAGAGATCCACCTGGTTCTGTTTCCCCAGTGCTTGGACTAAAGGTATGCGCCACCATGCCCAATGACTCCCTACTCATTTTTACCTATTGCAATTCAAAGTGGCTTTTATAATTTTACACTATTTTTAATACAGTACCATATACATGTGTGTGTGTATAATTCATGAACAATAGTTTGGTGGTATATAATACATTGACATTTAATTT